GGGTGGGGGGGGGGGGGGGGGACAATGTGTAGCCTGTATAATTAAAAATTGTAAACCGCCCAGAGAGTGCTTGTAGCGCTATGGGGAGGTATATAAGTCCAATAAATAAAAAAAATAAATAAATTTCCTTCCGCAGGCGAAGCTTGCTGGGGGGGGAGGGAGGCCAGGCCTGCAAATCTGCACCCCTGCCTGGCCAGACTTTCTTACCTGCTGACCCAACCAGGGAGGTCACTGGCAGCACCTTCGGCAGAAGCCACAGAATCGGCGGGTGGGGAGGGAACCCGTGAGGCCATCTAGACCGACCCCCTGCCCGTACAGGAATCCGGGACGGAGAGGCATCCGAAGGGGTGGGCTGCCATCCCATAGAGGCTTCGGCCAAACTAAATCCACAGAACCTTAAAAGGGCCACAAAGCTCCCTCTCGAGGCCCCCTCTGGGCCTGAACACACAGGCACACACATTGCTCAAATCCACAGCGAAAGATCTGCACAGAGGCAGGCGGAAAACAGACTAGGTTCTTTTATTACAGGAAAAGGGGGGTTGAAGGTCCAGGATGGGGGCCTTCTAGTCACAAACCCACCCCACCCAGCCCCAGAACAGTCCCTTAACTGAGCCCCGGGCCCCTTGTCTTGCCCCCACGGGGGGCGGCTCCAGCTTCTGCCGCTGCTTCACTCGATCCCACGGCTACTTCTTAAACCGGTCCAGCGCTGACCTCTGCCCTGGCGGGGCAGCCCCCTTGGTGGCTTCCTCCTGCTGCTGCTTCTGAGCCTCCAGCTTCTTTGCCACGCTCTTCCGGATCGCCGTCTGTAGAGGAGCAAGGCAGGGGAACGGGAAGGGAAAGTATTTCTCCTTGGGCAGGTTTTCTCCCTATGGCTGCCTGGCGCTGACTGTTTGGGGGCCCAAGAAGGGAAAAGACCCCCTCGCCCTGCCCCACAGAGGCCTGGCTTGAGTTCCTTCCTCACCCCCTTGATCCAGAGAGCAATCCTGCACAGAAAGTGCTGCTAGGACACACTCACGCCCCACGGATTGGCTTCCTCTGGGCAGAGAAAGCAGCCAGCATGTGGCGCCGTGAGGAGGGCATGGGTCCCGGACTCCAGAGACCTGCGTTCAAATCACTTCCTTGGCCATACGCTCCCTAGGCCACCACGGCCTGGCCACAACCTCTGCACTGGGCCTGAATCTTAGGGTTGTTGGTGAGCATACCTTGTTTCCCCGAAAATAAGCCCTAGTATGATTTTTCAGGATGCTCTTAATGTAAGCCAAACCCCCCAAAATAAGCCCCAGTTAAGGGAAACCCCACCTTCCAACCTTGTGCAACAACCAGAAGATGACAGGGACTGTATTTGAATCGATGTAGATTCTTGTATATGAAAAAACTTAAACATCTCTTGAAAATAAGTCTTACTG